GCGTGTATATATTTGTGTATATATGTGTGTTTGTGTATATCCTGTGTATATGTGTTTTGTGTATGCATATGAGTATATACAAGATGCTATATAAGATGCTAGTTCTGACCTTTAAAATTCTTTACAGCCAGAGTCCATCGTACTTTAGGGACTGTCTCTCCTCCTCCCATCATCGGAGGTCACAACGACCATCCCAACGCGACTTACTTTGTATACCGGGTCATAGAGAAGTGCACTTGGAAAGGAACATACGCAGATCTTTTTCTATTTCTGCCCCTGCCTTATGGAATTCCTTGCCGCCCTATATGAGAGCCATGTGTGAGTTAGGGCCTTTTACCCTAGCACTTAAGACCTAGCTTTTTACTAGAGCTTTTGATCTATGTTAATTTTATCAATATCTGTATTATGTATTTTTATCCTTTACAATTTAGCTTGTAAATCGCCTAGAGCATCTTGGATGGAGGGCGATTAATATGTAATTAAATGATGATGATATATGCGTGTCTATATATTTGTGTATATGTGTATATATGTATGTTTGTGTATATATGTGGTTTTGCGCATACGTTGTAATGTATTTTTTTGCATTTTCTGTTGGTCATGGGAGTTCTGTGTGGGAAGTCAACCCCAATTCTGTCGTTGGTGGGGTTCAGAATGCCTTTTGAATGTAGGTGAACTATAATCCCAGTAACTACAACTCCCAAATGTCAATATCTATTTTCCCCAAACTCCATCTGTGTTCCTAGTTGGGCATATGGGATATTCATGCCAAGTTGGTCCAGATCCATCATTGTTTGAGTCCACACTGTTCTCTGGATGTAGGTGAACGAGAACTCCCAAACTCAAGGTCAATGTCCATATTCATGGGAGTTCTGTGTGCCATGTTTGGCTCAATTCCATAGTTGGTGGAGTTCAGAATGCTCTTTGATTGTAGGTGAACTATAAATCCCTGCACCTACAACTCCCAAATGACAAAATCATTCTTTCAAAGTTATGGTCACTCCTTGGATTAGTAGGTGTCTTGTGGCCAAATTTGGCGTCAATTCATCTAGTGGTTTTTGAATTCTGTTAATCCCACAAATTAACATTACGTTTTTATTTATACAGATTGTACTAGCCATTCCCTGCCGCACGTTGTTGTGGCCCATTCTGTGTATATGTGTTTTGTGTGTATATATATTTGTGTACATATGCTTGTTTGCATATATGTGTGTGTGGTTTTGTGCATGCATTGCAATGTAATTTTTTTTGTTTTTTGGCTTTCTACATCCCTTCTGCTGTGTTTTTCAGTGTTTTTATGAGTGATTGTCACCCGTTGGTTTTGAGTTCTGTTAATCCCACAAACGAACATTACATTTTTATTTATATAGAGTAGCCATCCCCTGCCACGTGTTGCTGTGGCCCAGTCTGTGTATATGTGTTTTCTGTGTTTATATGTGTGTATATGTTATACATGTGTGTTTGTGTATATATGTGTGTGGTGGTTTTGTGCATGCGTTGCAATGTATTTTTTTGCCTTTTTACATCTCTTCTGCTGTGTTTACCAGTGTTTTTATGAGTGATGGTCACTCTTTGGCCCGATTGGTATCTTGTGTCCAAATTTGGTTTCAATTCCCCCAGTGGTTTTTGAGTTATGTTAATCCCACAAACGAACATTACATTTTTATTTATAGATATATAGATAGATTGTATGCGTATATATCTTGCAAGTTCCCTTCGGGGTGAGAAGGGCGGCATATTAATGCCGTAAATAAATAAATAAATAAATAAATAATCCTTTTTTTTCTGTATTGTCGAAGGCTTTCATGGCCGGAATCACTGGGTTGTTGTATGTTTTTTCGGGCTACATGGCCATGTTCTAGAGGTATTCTCTCCTGACTTTTCGCCTGCATCTATGGCAAGTATCCTCAGAGGTAGTGAGGTCTGTTGGAACTAGGAAAATGGGTTTATATATCTGTGGAAAGACCAGGGTGGGACAAAGGACTAAGAGAGGAAACAATCTGGGACATCTAATCACCTCTACAGCTTTTGCTGAGTTGTTGCATCCATTTAACTTTTTCAGTGCTTGACTAACATTTTTGCAATTAGAAATACCTAGTTAATTTTTAATATTTCTGACAGCCCTCTCGTGTTCATTTATGTGTTTTAAATAGGATGCAAAAGACACCCAGAGAAGTTAATGTGGACTGTTTGCAGAGAGAGGTTTATAGGGTTGTTGTAGGTTTTTTTGGGCTATATGGCCATGTTCTAGAGGCATTCTCTCCTGACGTTTCGCCTGCATCTATGGCATGCATCCTCAGAGGTAGTGAGGTCTGTTGGAACTAGGAAAAAGGATTTATATACCTGTGGAATGACCAGGGTGGGGCAAAGGACTCTTGTCTGCTGGAGCTAGGTGTGAATGTTTCAACTGACCACTTTGATTAGCATTTGATGGCTTGGAAGTGCCAGGGGGGAATCTTTTGTTAAGAGTGATTTGATGTGCCTGATTGTTTCCTCTTTGTTGTTGTGCTGTTGTAATTTTTTTTAATACTAGTAGCCAGATTTTGTACATTTTCATGAAATTCCAACAGAAAGGAGGAGACCATGAAAATGAACAAAATCTGGCTACCAGTATTAAAAAATACTCTAAAATTACAACAGAGAAGAAACAAACAAGGACAGCTAATCACCTCTCAACAAAAGTTTGCTCTAGGCACGGTCAGGCCATCAAACCTAAGTCTGAAATGTATCAGGGTCCACCTAAGTCTGAAATGACTTGAAAGCACACAACAACAACAACAATCCTATCTCATCAGCCAAAAGAAGGCCCACACTTCTCATTAAAATATTAATAAGCTTATATTTGTTAAAATTGTTCTTCATTTTAATTATTGTATTGTTTTTAAGTGTCTTTGGCACTACAAATAAGATATGTGCAGTGTGCATAAGAATTCATTCATGGTTTGTTTTTTTTTCAAATTACAATCTGGCCCTCTAACAGTTTGAGGAACTGTGACCTGGCCCTCTGCTTAAAAAGTTTGCAGACCCCTGTTCTAGAGGCACTCTCTCCTGACGTTTCACCTACATCTATGGCAAGCATCCTCAGAGGTAGTGAGGTCTGTTGGTGGTGGGGAGGGGGAGGGGGAGGGGTGGAGGTTTGGGCGCCAGGTCCACTGGCTGCCGATCTGCTACCGGGCCCAATTCAAGGTGCTGGTGTTTGCCTACAAAGCCCTAAACGGTTCCGGCCCAAAATACCTTTCGACCGCATCTCGGCCTATGAGCCCACGAGGGCCTTGAGATCATCTGGGGAGGCCCTTCTCTCGATCCCGCCTGCCTCACAGGCACGTCTGGCGGGGACGAGAGATAGGGCCTTCTCAGTGGTGGCCCCCCGGCTATGGAGCACCCTCCCTGTTGACATCAGACAGGCGCCCTCACTTATGGCATTTCGTAAGAGCCTAAAAACATGGCTATTCGAGAAGGCGTTTAACTAAGTGCTATAAAAAATTGGCTGACGACTGGAACGGAATATGGATTATGAGATTGGTGTATGATTCTATGATGAGACGACGCGGATGATTTAGTTTAATTATATGATTGTGGTATTATTGCTTGTTATGTAGATATTCGTTATGCTATGGCTTATTGTAAACTGTTTTTTATATGTTGTACACCGCCGTGAGTCGCCCTAAGGGGCTGAGAACGGCGGTCAACAAATGCAATAAATAAATAAATAAATACTAGGAAAAAGGGTTTATATATCTGTGGAAAAACTAGGGTGGGACAAAGGACTCTTGTCTGCTGAAGCTAGGTGTGAATTTTTCAACTGACCACCTTGATTAGCATTTGATTGCCTGGCAGTGCCTAGAGCAAACTTTTGTTGAGAGGTGATTAGATGACCTTGTTTGTTTCCTCTCTGTTGTTGTGCTGTTGTAATTTTAGAGTTTTTTAAAGTTTGCTCTAGACACTGTCAGACTATTATATGCTAAACTAGGAAAATAGGGTTTATATATCTGTGAAATGTCCAGTGTGCATAGGAATTCATTCATGTTTTTTTTTTCAAATTATAATCTGGGCCTCCAACAGTTTGGGGGACTGTGACCAGGACTTTGAGATCTTCCAGGGAGACCCTCCTCTCGATCCCGCCTGCTTCTCAAGCTCGGCTGGCGGGGACGAGAGATAGGGCCTTCTCGGTGGTGGCTCCTTGGCTGTGGAACGCCCTTCCTACGGACATTAGACTAGCACCATCTCTAATGGTATTCCGCAAAAAGTGAAGACCTGGCTGTTTGAGCAGGCGTTCGAATAATTAGTGCAATGATTGGTTAATTAACACTGGAATGGAACAATGGATGACGAATCTGGAACATGTTTTTGATGACGAGACGACAGTGAATGGGTATTGTAGTAACTGTTTATTAATTGTGTAATGTGTTAGGTTGTTAACTGTTTCTATACTGTAGCACTGAATTTTTGCTGTTCGTATTTGTTGTGAACCTCTGTGAGTCGCCTTCGGGCTGAGAACAGCGGTATATAAGTAAGGTAAATAAATAAATAATATGCTGTTAATGGTTTTTAAATTTTGTATGCTGTTGGATTGACTTTTGCTCTTGTTGTAAACCGCGTTGAGTCGCCTACAAGGCTGAGAAACTGCGGTATGCAAGCAAAGTAAATAAAATAAAATTTAAAAAATTGTGGTAACTATGAATTGTTGTAGTTTTGTGATGATTGTTTTGTGTGGCAGGCATCTAAGCGTGCCTTTGCTGCTGTAAGCTGCCCTGGGTCCCCTACGGGGTGAGAAGGGCGGGGTACAAGAACCCCAAATAAATAAAATAAAATAAATTATTATCATCATCCTCCTCATGATCCTCAACAAAAGGTCTTTCCAGAGCTTCCCTTTTTTCCCTCTTTCCTTCCATAACAAAAGCACCCTCGCGAAGGAGGCTGCCAGAGATATACACACCACAATAACAACAACAACACCACAACATGAACACCCATTCCCTCCCTCTCTCCCTGTGTCTCACCAGGCGGGCAGCCTCGGCCCACGTGCGCTCCTTCTTCCTCCTCTGCTTCATCTCCCTCATCTTCCTCTTGGCCTGGCGACGAATGGCAGCAACGGAAAGGGAATGGAGACAGAAAGAAAGGAAGAGGAAGGGAAAAACTAGGCCTATATATAGATGTGTGTGTGAGAGAGAGAAAGAAAGAGGAATGACGAAGAGAAAGAGAAGAGGGAAAAAGCAGGCCTGAGATGGTGGAATGAGGGGAGAAAGGAAGAAAGAAAGAACTACGGGAAGCGAGGGAGGCCTCAAAGGCGGCGAAGGCGGCGTTGGCGTTGGCTCCTCAGGCCCAGCATAACAAGGGAGCGCGAAGGAGGAGGAAGAGCGGGGTCAAAGGTCTTTCGGAAGGAAGGAAACAGAGAGAGAGAGAGGCCTGCCTCACTGTCTGTCTACTGAGAGAAAGGAGAAGAAGGCGGCGCTAGGCCCGGACGGCGGCCTCCGAGGGACAAATCCTTCGCGTCAGAAGAAAAAAAAAAGCTAACGCCAACGCAAGCAACGGTCACTAAGCTAGAGAGATGGAGGTAAGGGTGGAGGCGGGGGCAGTTCGAAGGAAAACAGCGCGCGGTGGCCGACGGGAAGTGTGGTCCCTGGTTAGAATGGGCGGGGATAGCTCTGAGGCAGAGAACGCGACGGAGAGACTACGTCTCCCAGCGTGCAATGCGAGGGATCGCATTCCCAAGCAGCAGCGCCGCGGTGCATGATGGGTATTCGGGGGAAAAGGAGAAAATAGTGAAGGGAGGGGCTACGGTGTGACAACATCCGGGTATCTAGCGCCCATAGCAGTCGCGTTTGTTTGTTCCGCGGTGGCTCCTCCCTGGCTCAATGGATCCGGACCAAGTTTGGCCCGCAGGCGCTTCAGGCTCCAACTTGAAGTAATAAGAGGGTTCGAACTCAAAAAACAGGCCTTTTCATACCCAAAACAAAGGGAAAGGAAAGGAAGGACGCTGATTGGCTGGGTGAAAGTAACATTCCGTGACGTCATTAGGAAAGAAAGGGAGTGAAAGGGATTCGCGTCATGGAGGCCTGTGCGTTCGTTTGTTTGTTCCGCAATTGCTCCTCCCTGGCTCAATGGATCCGGACCAAGTTTGGCCCACAGGTGCTTCAGGGTCCAAATTGAAGTAATAAGAGGGTTCGAACTCAAAGAACAGGCCTTTTCATACCCAAAACAAAGGGAAAAGCAAGGAAGGACGCTGATTGGCTGGGTGGAAGGGACATTCCGTGACGTCATTAGGAAAGAAAGGGAGTGAAAGGGATTAGCTGGTGCAACTGTCAACTATAGGTAAAAGGTAGAGGTAGTCCCCTGACGTTAAGTCCAGTCATGTCTGACTCTGGGGTGTGGTGCTCATCTCCATTTCTAAGCCGAAGAGCCGGCGTTGTCCGTACACACCTCCAAGGTCATGTGGCCGGCATGACTGCATGGAGCACCGTTACCTTCCCGCCGAAGCGGTACCTATTGATCTACTCACATTTGCATGTTTTCGAACTGCTAGGTTGGCAGAAGCTAGGGCTGACAGCAGAAGCTCACGCCGCTCCCCGGAATCGAACCTGCGACCTTTCGGTCAACAAGCTCAGCAGCTCAGTGCTTTCACCCACTGTGCCACCGGGGGCTCCTCAACTATAGGCAATATAGGCTAATTTAGGCAAGGAAGACTCCAGCAAGACGCAGGTTCACAGCTTGGGAGTGATCCTGGACTCATCGCTGAGCCTGGAACCCCAGGTCTCAGCGGTGGCCAGGGGAGCTTTTGCACAGTTAAAGTTTGTGCGCCAGCTACGCCCATACCTTGGGAAGTCTGACTTGGCCATGGTGGTCCACGCTCTGGTTACATCCCGTCTAGACTACTGCAACACTCTCTACATGGGGTTGCCTCTGAAGACTGTTCGGAAGCTTCAACTAGTCCAACGAGCGGCAGCCAGACTGCTAACAGGAGCTCGGTACAGAGATCATACGACCCCTCTGTTACGCCAGCTCCACTGGCTGCCGATTAGCTTCCGGGCACAATTCAAAGTGCTGGTTTTGACCTATACTGATATAAACTGGCTGCCGTTTATTTTCCGAGCCCAATTTAAGGTGCAGGTGCTTACCTACAAAGCCCTGAACGTTTTGGGACCACCCTACCTGCGTGACCGCATCACAGTTTACGAACCCACACGCTCACTCCGGTCATCTGGAGAGGCCCTGCTCGTGATCCCGCCCGCGTCGCAAGCGCGCTTGGTGGGGACGCAAGACAGGGCCTTTTCTGTGGTGGCCCCCGACCCTGGAACACCCTCCCCAAAGATCTTAGACAGGCCCCTACATTGGCAGTCTTCAGGAAGGAACTGAAAACCTGGCTGTTCCGATGTGCCTTTTCAGATTAGGAACCTCCAGCACCAAATCCTAGAAGCACCTTAGTAGAACCAAGATCACTGCACACTGCACACCGCACTTATATTTAATCCCATATCCCTCCTGCCACATCAGCACTTTTAACCCTGTACCCCTACTCCGGCCGGCCCAGTTTTAATAGTGTCTTGTTGTATTGTTACTGTTATTGTTTTCTGCTTAACTGTTTTTAATTTGCTTTAGGTATTGTATTGTTGTATTGTGTTTTGGGGCTTCGGCCTGTGTAAGCCGCATCGAATCCCTTCGGGAGATGCTAGCGGGGTACAAATAAAGTTATAATAATAATAATAATAATAATAATAATAATAAATGACTCCGACCCAGTTTACTTGTCCGAACGATTCTCCCCTATGAACCATCAAGATTATTAAGACCTTCCGGGGGGGGGGCTGCTCTCGGTCCCACCACCCTCGCAATCACGGTTGGTGGGGACGAGGGACAGGGCCTTCTTGGTGGTGGCTCCCCGGCTTTGGAACTCCCTCCCACTAGAGATCAGATCTGCTCCCTCCCTCCTGACTTTCAGGAAACTAATCAAGACCTGGCTGTGGAATGTGGCTTTTAAGGACCGATCTCATAACCTTCGTCCACATGGAAGGAGGAGGATGAACTGTGACTTTGACTGTGATTGTATGACGATTTGGCTTGGGTAATGAGATGATGATGTTTTTACTGTATGTTTTTAATCTGTAATGTTGATGTACTTTGTTTTTGTATATTATTGTAATTTGCATATATGGTGTAAACCGGCCGGAGTCCCTCGTCAAGGCGAGAAGACCGGTATAGAAAACTTCTAAATAAATAAATAAATGGAGAGAGAGTTGCCAGATGTACAAGCTGGGTTTAGAAAAGGCAGAGGAAGGAGAGACCAGATTGCCAATATCCGGATGCTGGATAAGGGAGGAAGGCAGGGAGTGTCAGAAAAGCATCTCTTTCTGTTTTATTGCTGTGGCCAACCTTCCCCTCCCTCTTTCTCTCCTTTCTTTCTCTCCTTCCTTCCTTCCCTCCCTCTTTCCTTCCTTCCCTCTTTTTCTTTCCCTTCTTCTTTCTTCCTTCTCTACCTGTTTCTTTTCTCACTTCCTTTGCTCTTTGGTTCCATCCTTCCTTGTCTCTTTCCTCTTTCCTCCCTCTTTCTCTCTTTCGTTCCTTCTCTCCTTCCTTGTCTCTTTCACTTTTTTATTTCCTTCTTTCCTTCCCTCCTTTTTCCCTCTTTCTCCTCTCCTTCCTTCCTTCTCTCTCTTTCTCTCCTTCCCTTTCCTCCTTCTCTTCCTTCCTTCTCTACCTCCTTTCTTTCCTTCCTTCTCTCCTTCCCTCCTTCTCCCTTCCTTCCCCCCTTCTTTCTCTCCTTCCTTCCCTCCTTTCTCCTTCCTTCTTCCTTCTCTACCCTTCTGTCTTTCCTTCCTTCTCTCCTTCCCTCCTTCTACCCTTCCTTCCCAACCCTTCTTTCTCTCCTTCCTTCCCTCCTTTTCTCCTTCCTTCCTTCTCTACCCTTGTCTTTCCTTCCTTCTCTCCTTCTCAACCTTTCTTTCCTTCCCTCCTTCCTTCTCTACCCTTCTTTCTTCCCTCCTTCTCTCCTTCCTTCCTTCTCTACACTTCTTTCTTTCCTTCTTTCTCTCCTTCCCGCCTTCTTTCCCTTCTTTCCCTCTTTCTTTCTCTCCCTCCTTCTCTCCTTCCTTCCTTCCTTCTCTACCTATCTATCTTTCCTTCCTTCTTTTTCTCCTTCTCTCCTTCCTTCCTTCTCAACCCTTCTTTCTTTCTTTCCTTCTCCACCCTTTCTTTCCTTCCTTCTCTCTTTCTCTCCCTCCGTCATGGGGGTCTTGTGTGTTAAGTCTGGTCCAATTCTATCATTGGTGGGGTTCAGAATGCTGTTTGATTGTAGGTTAACTATTAATTCCAGCAGTGACAACTCCCAGAGGTCAAGGTCTATTTTACCCAAACTCCACCAGTGTTCACATTTGGACATATTGAGGATTCATGCCAAGTTTGGTCCAGATCCATCACTGTAAAAACAATTATAAAAAAATAAAAATAAAAACAATTATAAAAAAAAGTTTGGTCCAGATGCGTCATTGTCTGAATCCACAGTACTCTCTGGATGTAGGTGAACTACAAGTACCAAACTCAAGGACGAAGCCCACTGAACCCTTCCAGTAATTTCTATTGGTCATAGAGTTCTGTGTGCCAAGTTTGGTTCGATTCCATCATTGATGGAGTTCAGAATGCTCTTTTATTGTAGGTGAACTGTAAATCCCAGCAACTACAACTCCAAATGACAAAATAAATCCCCTCCAACTCTACCAGTATTCAAATTTAGGCGTATCAGATATTTGTGCCAAATTTGGTCCAGTGAATGAAAATACATTCTGCATATCAGATATTTACATTATGATTAACAGTAGTAAAATTACAGTTATGAAGCAGCAATGAAAATTTTATGGTTGGGGGGTCACCACAACATGAGGAACTGTATTAAGGGGTCGCAGCATTAGGAAGATTGAGAACCACTGCTTTATGTCATGAAGGTGTGAAAATTAAATTAAAAACTTGTAAGTATTTTTTTAAAAAAATGAATTGTGCGAGTTGAACTCCAAAACATCTGAAGGGAAGGCCGAAGTTTGTCCATGCCTGAGGTATATACTGTCAGGATTATTTAGTTATGCATGTGTGTTTTTCAATGTGTTTCTATGTAATTCAAGATAGATTAAGATGTATTTCAAGATGGATTCTATTCTGCTTAATTGTGTATTAGAAATACTGTGAGAAGCAGAGAAAAGTAACCTTGACAGAAATGAGATAATGTGTTCCCTGGCTTGGAAGAAGTGGGAGGATCTGCTCTCAGCCAGAAAGTGAGATAAGCAGATGTTCAGAAACTGTTGTGTTGTGCTTTGTAGTTCCTGCCTGATGCTTGCTGTGAATAGACGTGTATAGATGTACTTAGTAAACTTAGTTTTCTGTTGTAACTAAAAGCTTGCGGAGTCCTGATTTCTGAAACAGAGTGTCTGCTGATCTAGCAATCCTTCCGCTGGCAAACGTCAATACTCTGACAAATACACCAGTAAAGTTATACAACTGCAAAGAAAGGGGGCGAGGGAGGAGTCTTTATTGTTGTAATTATTATTATTAGTATTTTACATATAATAAATCCAATCAATTTTTATTACACTTCTTCAGGAGCACTTTTACATTCCTAGACAAGAGAGAGGGGGGATTACAGAGACAAGCTGCCACTTTGATGGACAGAAAGAACTATGGATGTGGTTATTACGTATGTACAGACCAAAACATAGTGCAGGCAAGTTCAGGTGTGTTCAAAGAGCCAGGCAGACTCAGGATCAGCAGCCTTGAGAGATGAGCCACCAAGTTATAGCACAGACATGGGGAAACTTTGGCCTTCCCTCCAGGTGTTTTGGACTTCAACTCCCACAATTCCTAACAGCCGGTAGGCTGTTAGGAATTGTGGGAGTGGAAGTCCAAAACACCTGGAGGGAAGGCCAAAGTTTCCCCATGCCTGTTATAGCACAAAGGTTTCTGAAAACCCACAGACACTGGCCAGGATCATACAAGCACAGGATTGCGGCCCTCCTGTTAGCTTTCCTCTAGCTTGCCTGCAAGGTTGTTTACCAACGAAATAACGTTCTGAGACGCTGGGCTTCTTTTTGAAGCCTAAACTAACGCAGTCAACTACTATAAGCAGGGGACAGACGGGTTTTTAAACAGTGATTGTTCTGAATATTGGTGACCGCATCTGTGTTAAGGGGTGAGAAGAAAGACTTGCTGTAGACTTCTACCTGTCTTCACAGCTGTCACGGAGGGACGTATTCTGTGACATTTTCAACACAGCATTCCTCAGTTTCATGCTTCAACTGCTCTGTATTAAGTATCATACAACATCTGGCTCTGAGCTTGGGAAAAGGAATGGAGACCCAATTATACAGGTCAAAGCAAGCAGATTGGGAGTCAACTCTTGCAGGAAGGCCCATTGTATAGACCAGTGGTTCTCAACCTGGGGTCCCCAGATGTTTTTGGCCTACAACTCCCAGAAGTCCCTGCCAATTTACCAGCTGTTAGGATTTCTGGGAGTTGAAGGCCAAAAACATCTGGGGACCCCAGGTTGAGAACCACTGGTATAGACCCTATCCTAAGCCTTAAAAGGCCTCTCTGATACTCTGGTCCTCATCAAGCGTAGGCAAGCCTGATGCATCAACTTATCAAGGCCAGTCTGTAAATGTTTGAGTTCAGTTTGGTTCTTCACGAAGCCCTCGAATTATATTGAATGAAGCCTTTTGCTCCCGCTTCTCTTCCATCTCCTCACTGAGAGATTTCTCCAGGTTTATGGAAGCAAGCAAGGCATCGATCTGCCTTTTCCGTTCATACTAAACATAGCCGCCAACCTGTTTCTCAAGATTAGAAGCCCAATGGGATAACAGAATCCACGGGCACACAGATGTACCTTTGCCTATCTCACCGCCTTTGGATTCACAACCACAAGTACCTCAATACATAAAGCCACATCATCCTTTTCTCTTTCCTAATAAAGGAAAGGGGATTAAACAGGACTGAGGTGGATAGGAATAACAGGGTATTTTATACTGTGAGAACCAATGAAAAATGCAATTTCTCCAAAAGAGAAGAAGGAAAATAATGCCTAAGCAATGAAACAGCAATGACCAATGTTTGGAGGCATACCTGCTTCTTAATACCACACCAAATGGTATTTTGAAAGGCAGCAGCCAGGCTTGTTCCAGAGTTGTCTGAGCGGCTCTTGGCTTCCTGAGGCACCCTGCCAGCAAGATGCCTTTTGGGTTGTCCTTAAGTCACGGGAGCGTTGCAAACTGTGGACTCTTCACTCCAGAGAATATGTAACAAGGACACACAGCAGAGGCCAGATGCGTGAAAGAGCATTTCCAAAATCAAACACGCTCTCAGTCATTCATAAACACACACTTACTCAGCAAGGCCTGGGAAGAGGAGGGCTGTTAAAACATTCAGAGAGGAAGCCAGTGGGGGGGGGGGGGGGGAATAGTATTCACAGTACAACAGTCAACATCAACCCGCTCCCCGCAAAAATATTAACAACTCAATTCTCAATATACAACCATTTGAAACTTACAACAGAACTGCAAAATGGGACGCAGGGAATGTTTCTTTCAGCCTTTTGGCTCTGCCCAGCTTAGCAGCATCTCGCCTTCCAGACAGTGCTGAGCAGTCTGCTTGACTCAAGAGGGAAACGGGGAAGGCTCGGAGTCTCTCTAAAGCACAAACAAGCCTTGTTCCCCAGAAGTGGCCCAATCCTTTCCCCTTCAGGCTCTGCTCAAATCCAAACCCCATCTCCTTCCTACCGGGCGGAATCGTGGCTCAAAAGATCTTCACACTTAGGACGGGATGAGAAGGAGAAGAGGCAACTCTGGTCTCAAACCACTCTCTCGTTTCCAAAAGCTAGAATGCTATCACTGTTTCGTGTCAATCTTTTTTCTCCTCGAGGGAAGACAGAACCGTATCTCAAAGAGTCACTGACATGGATAGGCAATGAATATACTCTGAAGCAGAAGTGCCAAGTGGGTTGGTCACATTAGAAGTGGGGAGGTGAGCAGAGGAAGAGTGTGAACATGGAGCTGGCCACAGGAAGACAAGCTCACTGTTGACCCCTTCTTGGTCCTGGCTGAGGTCACTCTGAGTCCCATCTGCCACAACTCTGACCATTCCTTGTAAACAGATAAAGAATCCATTAAGTTTCTATTGCTTCTATTCTAGAGGAGGGAAACAGAGCAGTGTTTCCAAGCCCTCCTTTGGTCTGCTTTTCTAAAGGAAACATGTCTAACTAGGGGAGTGATGCATTTCAAACTCATTCCTTTCCCATTTCCTAGACATCCACCCCCCAACCCTCAAAAAGAGCAGGGAAAATAGTGCCATCCTTTCAGTGTAAAGGGGGAGAGGGGTGGGGAAGCAGTTATGGTCTGCCAGGGCTGGGTAAATCCTCTTGTCACTTCCCAACCACTCTAAAGATCTGTGGTTTTTTTAGTATCAAGAAGTCCCATAGCATCGGTTCTTTAACTCCAGTCTCAAAGAGCAAGCAAGAGGTGGAGGCAAACGCGGCGAGAGGAATGCCTGCCCTCCTGCCACGGTTCTTGCTGCTTCTAACACACACTAACGTACCTCATGCATTTCTGATTTCCTAACTACAGTCTCTTTTCCTCAAAGAGGTTGCCAGGGGAAAGAAATCCTGTCGTGCAGGGCAGAGAAGTCCACGTTGAACCTGCCCCGCGTGGCCCCCAATCAGTTCAGCTCCAGAGCAAGGAGGGCCCCCGCTTCTGCTCCAAAGGAATCCTTTTGGCAGGTTTGGCCACCGAGTCCTGCTTCGAAGGTTCTTACTTGCCTCAGGTTTGGAAAGGCAAAAGGTTTAGCCAGGCCTCAAGAAGGAACCGCTGGCGTTACTTGGGGACCAGCCCACGGGACTGTGGATAGAACTGGGAGCCCGAGGTGCTCGAGGAAGCGCCCCCAGATTTTCTTCCAGTTTTCGGCCTGACAAAAAGAAGGAGGAAAAAAGGGAAGATGTGTGATTCCATCTTACTACTTTTAAAAGCTACACTTTTGGAAAATGTTGGCAGGGGATTATTTTGGGGAGTCCCAAAATGAAGCATTTATTTATTTCATATCAAAAGCATTGCATAAATTAGTGGCCAGCATGACTGCATGGACTGCTGTTACCTTCCCGCCGGAGCATTACCTATTGATCTATTCACATTTGCATGTTTTTAAACTGCTTGCAAAATACACTTTGTGAAGGACAATTCTAGATCATCTTTTGCCCACTTCCTGGTCACTTTTAGGCTCAGGAGAGAGCTATCTTCCAACGAGTTTTGAAAACAGACCAGGGGTCAGCAAAATTCCTCTCAAACATTAACACAATTTGCAAATGGCATGCAGTTAGTTTTTTTAATGGGTTATTTAAAGAATGCTGGGGGGCATACTAAATCAAAACACTTCAAAGACTTCTGTATTGTAGCACAGTCTATTTCAACATCTTTCTATTCTACAATTAGTGCTCCCCAAGAAAGGTATCTATCACACGATTTAAAGACTGGGTTGCTGTGAGTTTTCCAAGCTGTATGGCCATGTTTCAGAAGCATTCTCTCCTGACGTTTCGCTCACATCTATAGCAGGCATCCTCAGAGGCTGTGAAGTCTGTTGGAAACTAGGCAAGTGGGGTTTATATATCTCTGGAATGACTATTTGAGGCACGTATGAATGATACAGTTGGCCAGTTATTTTTGCCATCCTAGAAAGTCCACAGATATGTAAACCTCACTTGCCTAGTTTCCAATACACCTCACAACCTCTGAGGATGCCTACTATAGATGTGGGTGAAACATCAGGAGAGAATGCTTCTTGAACATAGCCATATAGCCCAGAAAACGCACAGCAACCCAGTGATTCTTGCCATGAAAGCTTTCAACAACACAGATTTAGAGATTATTTGATATACACTTCAATACAAAATAATCAGGTTTACTACTAAATCTGAAGATAATACAAGCAGTTCAGTTCCTCCCCAACGACTGCTTCAAAAAAAAAAAAGGGAATTATGCTAAGCCTGTTTTCTCTGTACTAAAAGTTATTGGGAAATGGTATATCAAAAGCATTCCCTCATTCTAAGTGGCTCATAGCTTCTGCCCTTCAGGGTCTGGACTTCCCAAAGGATACATATCCTTACGAAGAATGATCAGAGCTCACCTGGATTTTGACTTCTTGTTTGACGTGCTCTCAAAAGAGGAAGCGTCCACTTGAATCTCATCCTCATCCTGCAGCGCGGCTTCAAGGGCGGCCTGGACTTTGGGAGCGATGGCCGGCCCTTCGTAGTCTCGGGTGGTCCGACTTGGCATGTCCATTTCCAGCAGGACAATGTTTTCTGCCTAAGAACCCCAACAGTTTGGACAAAGGCACAAAAACCCACAGTAAGCTGCTTTATTACTTGTTTACAATGTCCCAAAGATGCATAATCCCAACCCTAAGGAGTTTCCACTCAGTAATTCAAGGCTGCAAAGCAAGAATGGGAAACTTTGGCCCTCCAGGTGTTTTGGACTTCAACTCCCACCATTCCTAACAGTCTCAGGCCCCTTCCTTTCCCCCCTCAGCCGCTTAAGCGGCTGAGGGGGAAAAGGAAAGGGCCTGAGGCTGTTAGGAATGGTGGGAGTTGAAGTCCAAAACACCTAGAGGGCTAAAGTTGGTCCATCCCTGCTGTAAGGGAAGGCAAGGAAGATGAATCAATGGCACAAGTAAATAACATTATTAACAACCTAAATTGAGCCATGACAGAAGGAGGCATCTAAACAAGTATAACCCTGCTATGTAAAAAAACACCCACTCTCAGTAAAGTATGGATTCTTTCTCCACAAGTGGTCATGATTTTTTTATGGATCCTCAAAAACAAATAATAGAAGTAACCTAACGTTCTGAGCTTGGGCTCACCCTGTATCGGGCCTCTGGACGGACCATCATGGACATCCGTGCGTGTTGACTCAAGGGCCTCTTGTATCCCACTGCGGACACCGGCCTCTTCATCATCTGCTGATTCCTAGTACAAGAAAAAGATATAAACCCTCTACACAGAGAAGTCATTGAAATCCACAAGCATGTGGACAATTTCAACAGAAAGGAGGAAACCATGAAAATGAACACAATCGGACTACCAGTATTAAAAAACTCTAAATTACAACAGTTAAACAACAGAGAGGAAACAATTTAGGACATCTAATCACATCTCAACAAAAGATTGCCCCAGGCACTACCAGGCCATCAAATGCTAATCAAGGTGGTCAGTTGAAACATTCACACCTAGCTCCTTTGTCCCACCCTGGTCATTCCAGATATATAAACCCATTTTCCTAGTTCCAACAGACCTCACAACCTCTGAGGATGCTTGCCATAGATGCAGGTGAAACGTCAGAACATGGCCATATAGCCCAAAAAAGCCTACAACAACCCTATAAACCTCTCTCCGCAACAGTCCACATCAACTTCTCTGGGTCTCATTTGCATCCTATTTACAACACATACATGAACATGAGAGGGCTGTCAGAAATATTAAAAATTAACTAGGTATTTTTAATTACAAAAATGTTAGTCAAGCACTGAAAAGGTTAAATGGATGCAATGACTCCGCAAAAACTGTATAAACAGTTGTGTCTTTAGCTTAGTAGCTCTCAGTCTGTAAGAGGTCTCTGTGAGAGAAGGGCCTCAGTGTGTCAGTAGGCCTTGGTATGAAAAGGCCTCTGTTGGAGTTCAGCCTGTGATTGTGTTTCAGGATCAGGGTGCTTTGGATGTGGAGAGTGTTGTCAATGTGTTTCAAGATGAGTTTCAAGATGGCAATGGTTTGGTCAGTGATACTGATGCAGAGAAGGACCAGGAGATCCCTGTTCAAAGTGTAGTTTCCCATGAAAATGTCCCTGAGGGCTGTGGGGATGATGGTGTGCTCCCTGAATTGCTACCAGAGAGTTCCCATGATAGAGAACATGAAAACAGCTCAGCACCTGGCCCAGCTGCAGAAATTAATGAGCAAATAGATAGATGGGAAGAGATAAATCAAAACAGGAGAGCCAAATAGTGGCTTCAGCATTCTGCCAGGCTCCGAGAGAAAAAGATAAGACATTCTCAGCTAAAGTGAAATCAATTTTGCTTTAGCTAACGAGGAGATAAAAGTCCCAAGTACAGGATATGTAGTCAGATGACCATTGTTTGGAATCAAGTCAAGATCTCATCCTTGTTTCATGGAAGCTTTGCTTGGAAAATTCATGTCTTAAGTGCCTTTGTTTCATGGTTTTGATTCTTGGATTTTATGCTTTTATATTCATGCCTCGGATTCATGTTTCCTGATTCCTCGTATTTTATTTGAGAAGTTTTGACTTTGTTTTTATGGACTTGGCTGGACTATTACCCTGGGCTACTTTGTTCCCACTTATCTTCCTAATTGGATTTACCTATTTCTTTAAAATGCTTTTTTACTTTTCTGCTTTTTAATTATCTTCAATAAAAGGATTGTTTTCCCTATCCAATGGTGTGGTGCTTAAAGTCAGAGGGCTTTTCCTGTCCTGGAGTGCAACAGCCTCAGTGTTAGTTCACCTCAGTGTGAGAAAGGCCAGAGTGTGAGGTAGACCTCAGTGTGAGTAGGCCTGGTGTGTGAGAAGCTGCGAAAAAAGAAGCCCTAGGTTGAACGCGTCGTGTATGAAGGTTGCTGTGTGTAAAAAGCTACACACAGCTTAATCCAGAGGTCTAGCCACTCATTGTCCTGTCTCACACACACTGAGCAACAGAAAGAATAGAAGGGCAGAGCATAAAAAGGAAGGGAGGCACAAATACTCAGCAGCCCCGACAGGGTTCCCAGTTCACCATTTGAAGAATATGGGGGTACACTTGGACTCAAAATCCTGTTTATTTATTCACAGCCTTTCGGAATGGGTCGGACAGACCGAAAATCTACATATCCAAAGTCTACTTCTTCCTGCAAATTCTACAATTAAGGTTGCAAGGACAACTCACTCCAAGCGTGTGATGGGGTGCAGTTTCCACTGGTCTTCTTCCTCATCAAAGAAAGATCTGTTCATGATCTTGTTTTTCTCTTCCAACGGAATAAAATTTTCTATGATCAGGTGTCTGTGAAGGACGACAAAGAGAAAGATAAAATTATAGAAAAGGTCATGGTAATAAACCCTTATGTTAGTTGTCAAGGCCACACCCTCCAGCCAAGAGAGAGGGATGGTCATCCTGCTGCATTATTTGTTCGTTTATTTCGCTTGTTGGATTTCTATGGCACCATTATCCCGGAGTGGAACTTCACAAACAATTGAAACCATTGTCGAAGGCTTTCATAGCCAGAATCACTGAGTTTCTGTGAGTTTTTTGGGCTGTAGGGCCATGTTCCAGAAGCATTCTCTCCTGACATTTCACCCACATCTATGGCAGAGGTTGAGGGGTCTGTTGGAAACTAGGCAAGTGAGGTGAATATATTTGTGGAATGTCCAGTATGGGAGAAAGAACTCTTGTCCTCTTGAGACACATGTGAATTGTGCACTTGGCCACCTTGATTAACATTGAATAGTCTTGCAGCTTCAAGGCTAGGCTGCTTCTTGCCTGGGGGAATCCTTTGTTAGGATGTGTTGTTGTCTGGAATTCCACTGTTTTTGAGTGTTCATAGAATCAAAGAGTTGGAAGAGACCTCATGGGCCATCCAGTCCAACCCCCTGCCAAGAAGCAGGAATATTGCATTCAGATCACCCCTGACAAATGGCCATCCAGCCTCTGCTTAAAAGCTTCCAAGGAAGGAGCCTCCACCACACTCCGGGGCAGAGAGTTCCACTGCTGAACGGCTCTCACAGTCAGGAAGTTCTTCCTCATGTTCAGATGGAATCTCCTCTCTTGTAGTTTGAAGCCATTGTTCCACGTCCTAGTCTCCAAGGAAGTAGAAAACAAGCTTGCTCCCTCCTCCCTGTGGCTTCCTCTCACATATTTATACATGGCTATCATATCTCCTCTAAGCCTTCTCTTCTTCAGGCTAAACATGCCCAGTTCCCTAAGCCGCTCCTCATACGGCTTGTTTTCCAGACCCTTGATCATTTTAGTCGCCCTCCTCTGGACACATTCCAGCTTGTCAATATCTCTCTTGAATTGTGGTGCCCAGAATTGGACACAATATTCCAGATGTGTTGTTCTTCATTTACTTGAAAATGAACAAAATCTGACTACCAGTATTTTTTTAAAACTCTAAAAAAGGACAGTTAATAAAGAACAACACACAAAAACAAGAGAATTCCAGAAAAGAAACAATCAGGGCCAGTTAATCACCTCCCAACAAAGGATTCCCCCAGGCAGGAAACAGCCAAGCCTTGAAGCTGCAAGGCTATTCAATACTAATCAAGGTGATCAATTACAACATTCACACTTGATCTCAAGCAGACAGGAGTTCTTTCTCCCACCCTGGACATTCCACAGATATATAAACCCCACTTGCCTAGTTTCCAACAGACCTCACAACCTCTGAGGATGCCTGCCATAAATGCAGGCGAAACATCAGGAGAGAATGCTGCTGGAACATGGCCATACAACCTGGAAAACTCACACCAACCTAACAATTAAACCCCTTTACAATAAATGTATTTAAAAAACAAGAGATAAACTGCTATAAAACATTTTAAAAATATATGGAGGGTTATAAAGAATGAATAACCCTATAAAACGCTATTCTGCGTACTCTGCAGCCCACTCCCAGCCCTGGGCTTCCGCAGGGGACCTACTTGAGCTTCAGTTCCCGTGTGAGCTCATTCTGGGTCTGCTCCAATTCTTGCCGTTCTTTGATGTGCTCTTCTTGAAGGTCGTGGATTTCCGCCTTCACAGCCTGCAGCTTAGAAAACAGCTGAAGGGGGGAAAGGGCAGAGTTAGCGGACACGGCACAAAAAGCCCAGACCTTGCCAGGCTGGCTGCTGATGCTCAGGAGGGAAGAAGCAATCTTTGCCAAGCATCGGCTGAGCAAGGCCGCGCTACCTTCCCTGCAGGAGGAAAAACAGAGCGGTAGGGAGGATGACAGCTTTGGCTGGTGCACAATGGAAGTGCTTTGAATGCTTCTGCTAAGCAACAGCCAAAAAAATCTGCTGCCTTCCTTTTTGTGACTCCCAAACAGAATCCTGTTGGGAATCAGATTGTGTTTGTGTTTCATGATGCTCTTGATGTGGGACATGATGAGGGAAATGATGGTGCTGAGGCTGAGGTGCAAGGTGGAGATGGTTTGGTCAATGATTTTCATGCAGACAATGACAGAGAGGCCCCAGTGCAAAGGGCAGTTTCTCATGAGAATATTCCTGCTGGGCTTAAGGATGATAGTTCACTCCCTCTTTCTGTGAGTTCTCAAGATTTGAGTTTGGAAAATAATCGGACACCTGGAAAGTTTAATGAGCAGCCAGAAAGGGAGTTGAAAAATAGGTGGTTCAGCCAGGATCGACAACAAACTCAATGTTTACATCACTCCGAAAGGCTTCGTAAGATAAGAGGCAAGAGTGGGGGAAAACGAAACCAATTTTGGGGCTTTGGGATATAAGGTTTGCTTCAAGGGAAAGCTTGTTAGATCAGGCATCGTTTGGAAATCATGTTCATGTGCTTTGGAAATCCTGCTCAAGGGGTCTTGTTCTTATAGAGATTTTGAGCATTTTGCTGTGGTCTAGCACCTTCTGGATTATCTTTGTAACCTGTTGATTCCTGTCTGGATAAATACTGCCTTGGATTCTTTTTATATCTTTTGTGGACATTGCTCTGAATTACTGCATTTTACTGATCTTTACATTTTGAAATTTTCCTATTTTTACAAGCATTTCTTCCTACTGGCTATTTTACTTCAATAAAAAGGATTGGTTTTTCACTCAATGTATGGTGTATTTTAAAGTCGGAGGGTATCGTTTCTGTTCTGGAGTGCAACAGATCCACTAAAAGAATATCCCAGCACACAATCTGGGCTTTCTCTGAAACTCCTGCATTCACCTTCCTTGCCTTCTCCTACAGCAGGGATGGGCAAACTTCGGCCCTCCCTCCAGGTGTTTTGGACTTCAACTCCCACAATTCCTAATAGCTGGTAGGCTGTAATGGCTCCCATCTGTTGGGAGGGCTTATATTATGTCTTCCTGTTGGGAAGAATGGGGTTTGGTGCAGGATGTGGTTGGCCTGGATGTCCTGGGGGTCACTTCCAATAGATTCTATGAGGCCACTACACTGTATCCTTAACCTATGCTTTCCCACCAGTCCATAACTCAAGTCATCTTACAGACATTGAAACCTTCAGAGGAGGTTTGCCATTGAGAGAATGTGACTTGCCCAAACCCACCCAGTGGCTTTCCATGACGAATCAGACTGTGTTCTCTCTTAGTCCTACACTCAAACCATTGTTTCAGACTGGCTTTGCTCACTCATAAGAAATTGCACATTGCACTGCAGCTTAGGGGAATGTTAAATACAGAATAGGAGTCTGGGGTTTTCCTGCATCATAGCCTTATTTTTTATTATTATTATTATTATTATTATTATTATTATTATTATTATTATTATTATTATTATTATTGCAAAGACTCTGGCACAAGCCAGTAAAGATGGGCCCAGTAATGATTGGCACACTGGGTGCAGTGCCTAAAGACTTTGGCCTGCACTTCAAAACAATAAGTGCTGACAAAATTACCATCTGTCAGCTGCAAAAGACCACCCTACAGGGATCTTCACACATTATTCGCCAATACATCACATAGTCTTAGATGCTTGGGAAGTGCCCAATGTATGATGAAATACAAAAGCTAGCAGAGTGATCTTGTTTACTGTGTACTAATCTTGCTATGTATCAAACAATATTATTATTAATAATAATAATACTTGGGAAGTGTCCGACGTGTGATCCAATACAACAGCCAGCAAAGTTTCTGCTGTAGACTCATCTTGTTGTGTTTCAAATAATAATAATAATTATAATTATAATAATAAGTGCCTAAGACCTTGGCCTGCACTTAAACACAAATGGCGCTGACAGCCAGCTGCAAAAGGCCACATTACTGGGATCTACACACATTATTTGCCGATACATCACACACTTCTAGACACTTGGGAAGTGTCCGATGTGTGATCCAATTCAACAGCCAGCAGAGTGTCTGTGGTGGACTCATCTTGTGGTGTTTCAAATAATAATAATAATAATAATAATAATAATAATAATAATAATAATAATAATAAAAACTTTATTTGTATTCCGCTCTATCTCCCTGAAGCGACTCTGGGTAGATTCCAACCACAAAAAGGGAAACATCCCATGCCTAAATACAACAAACATAACAGCAAAAATAACTGAACATATAAGATCAAATTATAACTTAACATATAAATTTAAATGAAACATAACATATCAAATAAATTAATTCTAACATAAAACATAGCATCAAACAGAAGCATCAATTTACCGGAGGTGACAAGGTTCATTAGGGCATGTAAATTAATTATTGCACCTCTATCTCTCCTGTGAGCTTTTGTGTGACCAAAATGCAACAACATGCATGCATGCATGTCTATGTCATTGCTTTCTATAGGGTCTTCCCTGTTGCATACTGCAGTCAGCAGAGGCTTTGCTTTGGCGATGCCTCACGTCTCTCTCCACTTGCAGGGCGATGACTAATCTTTGTGCATTAGCCGTCTGATGATTAATCTTTGAGCATTGTGTCTCCCTAACTGACAGAAGTGAGTTAGGCTGGATGGCCCTGTGGTCTCTTCCAACTCTATGGTTCTAGGTTTCTATATGTAATCGCATCATCTTGCTAGTTGCTAGTTATGCTAATGTCACCCATCTTTAGGTACCCCGCTCACCTTTTTCAGCTTTTTAGTTTTAATGTCCACCTCCTGCTGCAAGGAGCTGTAGGTCTCTTTCAGTTCCAGTGTCTCTTCATCCCGGCTTTCCATCTGCTGTTGAATTTCTCGTTCCCGTCGTTTCTGCAGGGAATGACAAAAAAATGCTGCAAAAACCCCAGCCGTCAAAGTCCTAAAATCACCTTTGCCTGGAATTCATTCATTGCTGGGCTACATTTCAAGAACTGAATGGTGAGGAGAACATCTACCATTCGCAAAAGGTATTTCACATTTCCATAGGGGAGATGGTGACGGGGTACACAATCACTTATACTTTTTAAATAAATGCGTGAAAAGACCCAATTCTCAGAAAAGGATTTTCATAGAAAGGATAAGAAGAATTAACCGCCGGACATCTCCTTAGTCCAGCAGAATCTTCCTCCAACACAACCCTATGCCCAACTTCAACCAGATGTTGACCACACAATTGCACCACACAATCTTAAGAGATTCCTAGAGAGGTGTTCTCTGCAGGAATCCCTAGGAAGTTGCTATTGATAAAATGGGATTGCTGGCAAAGAATTGAACTATTTGAATATGTTTTGAATCAGTGTTTATGGATTTTAACTGCGAATTCTTAAAATGCCATTGATATTTAATTCTGTTTTAATGTTTGTATATTTGTAGATTTTAAATTGTATTTAAATTCTTTTAATGTAAGCTTATTTTGTTTCGTTAAAAAATGCAATGCAACTGTTTGGTCTGCCCCTGACACGATAAATAAATAAATAAATGTAAGCTGCTTTGATTCTGTTGAGAGAAAAAGAAGGGTATAAATAAATATAACATTAATAATAATAACAACAGTATTATGAACAACATTACTCCGTGGCTTTTAACTTGAATATGTTTTAATAGCTTTTAACTGAATTTTTAATATTGTTTACATTTAATTCTGTTTTAATGTTTGCATATTTGTATATTTTAAATTGTATGCTAATGTTTTTATGTTAAGCTGCTTTGAGTATCCTTTGGGAAAGATAAAGTGAGGTAAATATATATAACAACAACAACTCCACCTTACTATCTGTCTCATCTAGAAAATCAGAACACTGAATATTAAAAGAGGGAGTTGGTACACAGCATTCAATGGAACAGCTATCTCCATGTTTTGAGTATAGTCAGCCATTCACATTCAATTGGGTTAGGGGCACAGGATGCCTGCGGAAGTGAAAAAACACAAACAAAAATGCTATTCTTTAACCTGAGAGAACACCTCTTGAGGAATCTTTAAGTCCTCCAACACAACCCTATGGCCAACTTCTGTCAGAATTGCACTGCACAGTCTTAGAGATTCCTGGAGAGATGTTCTCTATGGCCAGCTTCCATTGGACCTAGAGATAACTAGACAGAACATTTTAATCACTAGGTTGCTGTAAGTTTTCCAGGCTATATGGGCATGTTCCAGAAGCATTCTTTCCTGACGGTTTTGCCCTGCATCTGTGGCAAGCATTCTCAGAGGTTCTGTTGACAGTGAAGCAAGTGGAGTGTATAAATATATGTGGAATAATGTCCAGGGTGGGAGAATGATTGTATTGTTGAAGGCTTTCATGGCCAGAATCACTGGGTTGCTGTGAGTTTTCCGGGCTGCATGGCCATGTTCCAAAAGCATTCTCTCCTGACGTTTTGTCCACATCTACAGCAGGCACCCTCAGATTAAGGACTGAAGACTGACAGATCGCAGATTCGAATCCGGGGAGAGCGTGGATGAGCTCCCTCTATCAGCTCCAGCTCCTCATGCAGGGACATGAGAGAAGCCTCCCACCAAGGATGATCAAAACATCCAGGCGTCCCCTGGGCAACGTCCTCACAGACGGCCAATTCTCTCACACCAGAAGCTACTGCAATTTCTCAAGTCGCTCCTGATACGACAAAAAAAAAAAAAATCCTCAGAGGCTGTGAGGTCTATTGAAAACCAGGCAAGTGGGGTTTATATATCTGTGGAATATACCATTTTAATCAAATCTGTGAGTAATCATATCCACAAAAGCCAAGCCTACAAGGACTGAGTGTACTTGCAAATTTTGTAAGATTTCTGTCATATGTATTTTACTTAACTTGTATGGCTCAAAGTGTCTGTAAATAGAATTCAAGCCCCTCATACTTAAATCACGCAAATGGGATGAAAAATAATCTAACTTATTGGTATCATCCTTGGCGCAATCACCATTCCACTTAAAAGGGACCCATAAAAGAGCAATATGTGTAAATTAAACCACATTGTTCAAAAGTGAAATAGGTCTGAATAGCAGCAGACAGAGAAAAATAATGGGAGAAGGAAATAACCTTCTTGTCCTGCTTGGAAAAGCACCTGGTTGGCCATTGCGGGAATTAGAGTGCCAAGAGTGCTGCACATATTTGTTCCAATTGTTTACAATGGATTATTTCTTCCTGAAAACTCAACAGAAACTGGCAGCCTCAGATTCCAGTATTGGTTCCAGTCCTGGGTGCAGTGCTGAGAGAAACACTGGAAGGACTCATTGCTGATTTGACCTATTGGTTCAAATAGACAAAACGTGGTCTGATCCTTCTTGTAGCCATTCATTTCAAAAACAGTTGTCCTGAAAAAGTTTCCAGAGGGTTCTGTCCAAATGGAAAAGAGGTGAACACGGGATTTTTGATTCCCAGGAAAAGCACCCTTCTGCCTCCATCTCACCTGCTCAGCAATCTCTTGCCGCTTCTGTTCCAAGATCTTCTGCTGCTCATTGGTATGATCGACAATGTTTTTCCCTCCAACGAGAAGTTTGCTTTCCATCGTCTGAAAAACAGAAAGGTGTGTGTGTGTTTGAGGGATCTTTGCAACCAAAACCAGCTTCATATTTTCCTCCAAAAGGTTTTATTTTCTCAATTAGTTTGTCAGTGACCGCCACTTCATCCTGATCAGACTGAACTGTGAACTGCGTACCTTACAAAGCTTCATAATTATTCTATGATTCTTTAACTCAGCTGCTACAGAGCTGTGTGGCCTCTCTTCAGACATATTTCATTCATTTTACACATTTCCAAGGGCGAAAGGAGGCCCTCCTTTCGCCCTTGCCAGTTTCTCAGGCTCGTCTTGTGGGTACAAGGGAGAGAGTCTTTTCCTCTGTGGCCCCCCGACTCTGGAACTCATTGCCCGGAGAGATTAGAAAAGTTCCTACTTTAGAAACCTTTAAAAAGAATCTCAATTGGTTCAGTGGTTCTTAATATTATCTAATGCTTACTTCAAGAATGAAACGAGTGCAAAGTCCCATTCCTATGGGAGGACCACATTGTGTGCTTTCTCCATCCCATGATAGATGCTCATATTCTGCAGAGATCATCTTCTAGTAGCTTAAAAATCTTATTTATTCTTAAATCTCCTTTTCTGGACTCGTCACAAGAACCTCAGTCCATGGACTTGTTATATTGCACTTTCAGAGAGTAGTCACATCATTCTATGCTATTGCTCTCTCAACGTTCTTGTCCCAGGACCCCCCCCCCCCCCCTACGAAGGTTTGTTTATTTCTTTGTCTCTCTCTGAGTTCTCCCTTATAATCAGTTCTGCCCCTTTTTCTCACCCTGAGTTTTTAAAATCATTTTATGTACATGCGGCCCACTCTTAGTCATTATGTTTGGTTTCTATGTTCTGTGTATACTGTCTATATGCTTTGATGTTTTATATTTTATTGTTATTTTGTTTATTTCATTGCAATTTGTATTTTTGTATTGTAATTTGTTGTCCGGGCTTGGCCCCCTGTAAGCTGCTCTGAGTCCCCATTGGGGGAGATGGTGGCGGGGTATAAATAAAGATTATTATTATTATTATTATTATTATTATTATTATTATCTAAATCTTAGGATTTCAGGATACTGCATCAAAAGGGCATAAGAAAATAGCATAAAATAAAGTTTGTGTGTGTGTGTGTGTGTGTGTATATATATATATATATATATTTACAGTATTTATATTCCGCCCTTCTCACCCCATCAAGCACCAACTCCCCAAAGCCTTTAGAACGATTAGATCAGACATGGGCGAACTTCGGCCTGACTGGGTGAACTTCGGCCCTAACTGCCTACCAGCTTTGCTGTGAGTTTTCTGGGCTGTATGGCCATGTTTCAGATGCATTCTCCTCTGACATTTCACCCACACCTATGGCAGGCATCCTCAGAGGTTGTGAAGTCTGACAACCTAACCGGCTGTTAGGAATGGTTGAGAACTGAAGCACAAAACATCTGGAGGTAGGGCCGAAGTTGGCTCATGCCTATGTTAGATTCTGCCTTCCAATAATTTGGGAGAATACCAAAACAACTAAAGCTATACAGAATTCGCAGGGTTCCCTCTACATCCGTGGTTCTCAACCTGGGGTCCCCAGATGTTTTTGGCCTACAACTCCCAGAAATCCCAGCCAGTTTACTAGCTGTTAGGATTTCTGGAAGTTGAAGGCCAAAAACATCTGGGGACCCCAGGTTGAGAACCACTGCTCTACATGGCCTGTACTTTCTAACCTTTAGCTCTCTCCTGTGCTCCTGCCCCAGTTTTGTTATAGCGAGAGAACTCCTACCTTGATTTTGGCCCCTAGTTTTTCAGCAGCTTCTTTCTCGTGTCTCAGGTCTTCCATCTTCTTCTCTTTCTCCTTCAGGAGCCTCATCTTCTCCTCAGCGACAAGGCTGTGGTCCTCGAGGATGGCCTTCTTCTCCACCTCCAGCTTCTCCTGCTGCTTTCTCCAATAATCGTCTTTGTCGGCCCCCTCTTCCTCCCCATCTTCGCCATCCTCCTCGTCGTCGTCCTCCTCCTCCCCGCCAACTCCTCCGTCCCTCCTCTGGTCTTTCTTCTTCCTCTTGCCGACAGACCGCCTCTCCAGCTGAGCCTTGAGCCGTGCAATTTCCTCCTGGAACTCCCGCAGCAGTGCGTCCTTGGGGTCTTCGTTCACTCTTGGTTTGTTCTTGATATTTTTGGCGCGGTTGGCATATCGCAAGGTGGTGAGGGTCTCATCCACGTTATACGAGGCAGGGCCAATGTTAGCCACCATCACCGTCTTGGCGTTGCCGCCCAAGGAGTCCTGCAGGAGCCGGGTCAGCTTGGAGTCCCGATAGGGAATGTGAGTGCTTTTGCCATCGACGAGGGCAGAGATGACATTGCCCAGAGCAGAGAGGGAGAGGTTGATCTTGGTCGCTTCTTTCAACCGCTCGCCTTGGGCTCCGGTTTTAGACTGGCGCTCGCTGCCCGCAAGGTCCACCAGATTAAGCTTCCCGACACGTATGTGGTTCTCCCCATCAAGCCCAACTTCGCTACATTCAATAGTGATGACGAAAATGGCGTGGGAGCGGGAGCTGTGCTCGTTCATGTTGGTGGCCCCTACTGAACGGTTCTGGTTCCCCACGTTCATAACGTGCTCTATTTCCTTCACGCTCTTTGTGACGAAAGAGGATAGGTCTTTGACGTACACTCCCGTGTCCGGCCTCTCCTTCAGCTCCAGCCTCTTAGACTGATCTTTCGACAGCAAGTCCCTGATTTCTTCTTGGTAGATCTCCAAATAGGAAGCCCTTACCAGATACTGCTGGTTCTGAGACCGAGAGATGTGCGTGAAGATGTGGTCGAAAGAATTGGGGATGACCCCCCGCTTCTCAGGGTCGCCTCGCACGCCTTCCATCGTGTAGGTTTTCCCCGTCCCGGTTTGCCCGTAGGCAAAAATGGTGCCGTTGAAGCCCTGCAGCACCGAGTCCACCAGCGGCCGGAAGGTTTCGTCATAGAGTTCAAACTGCTTGGAATTCCAGTCGTAGACCGCATCAAAGGTGAACATCTTTGGCAACTCGTGGGACGTTCCCCTAGGGTTCTTCACTGACACCTGCCCCAATTTGACGTTCACCTCCACCATCTGCTCGTAAGAAGCGGCTTTCTCCTTGCTGTTCATTGGCCGGCATCGCACCACGACCCGGACCGACTCCGAGCACTTGAGCTTCGACATGACTGCAGCTGGGCACTAGGGCGAGCCCAACTTACAGCGGAACCAGGAAGGCCAAGGTTTCTTCCAAATCTAGAAAGAAAGAAACACAACACTTGAGCACTAAGGCAGCAAAAAAGAGTTTTGTAGCCAGATCTGGGCAAGTGATAACCTCAAAAATCTTTCTTTTCTTTGTTTACAAATTAAATATTGGAAAACTGTTTCGTGGATTCATAAGCAGAATAAATAGCTAAACTTCGAACCTGTACTACGCAAATAGCAAGAAAACAAAATTCATAGCTCAGTGAACCAGAAAAACAGACAGAGACAGAGACAGAGAGAGATTAAGGGAAAATGTAATGGAAAAGTGTTATCTGGATAGAACTATTGTGGCTGCAGCAATACATTCTAAATTAAAACTGGCACTAGCCATTTTTAATGTAACTGTATTTTAAATTGCTTTTAGGGTATCTGTTGTAATATTTACATAACGTTTTAGTTAACGATATCTTACTGGATTTTGTTTTATTTTTCATCACAATGCTTAATTGACTTGGCCACGGTGATCCACGCTCTGGTTACATCCCGTTTAGACTACTGCAACGCTCTCTACGTGGGGTTGCCTTTGAAGACAGCTCGGAAGCTTCAATCAGTCCAACGCTCGGCAGCCATGATTTTAACAGGAGCCGAGCGCAGGGAGCATACAACCCCCCTGTTGCGCCAACTCCACTGGCTACCGATCTGCTACCGGGCTGAATTCAAAGTGCTGGCGTTGGCCTTTAAAGCCCTAAACGGTTCCGGCCCAAGCTACCTATCCGACCGCATCTCTGCCTATGAACCCACCAGGACTTTGAGATCTTCCGGGGAGACCCTGCTCTCGATCCCGCCTGCTTCTCAAGCTCGGCTGGCGGGGACGAGAGATAGGGCCTTCTCGGTGGTGGCTCCTCGGCTGTGGAACGCCCTTCCTGCGGACATTAGACTAGCACCATCTCTAATGGTATTCTGCAAAAAAGTGAAGACCTGGCTGTTTGAGCAGGCGTTCGAATAATTAGTGCAATGATTGGTTAATGAACACTGGAATGGAACAATGGATGACGAATCTGGAACATGTTTTTGATGATGAGACGACAGTGAATGGGTATTGTAGTAACTGTTTATTAATTGTGTAATGTGTTAGGTTGTTAACTGTTTTTATACTGTAGCACTGAATTTTTGCTGTTCGTATTTGTTGTGAACCGCTGTGAGTCGCCTTCGGGCTGAGAACAGCGGTATATAAGTAAGGTAAATAAATAAATAAATAATAAATTAATTCTCACTGTTATTACTGTGCTTTATTGTGCATTATTTGGATATGTTTGTACTCACCTGAGGCACTGAATCATAGAATCAAAGAGCTGGAAGAGACCTCATGGGCCATCCAGTCCAACCCCATTCTGCCAAGAAGCAGGAATATTGCATTCAAATCAACCCTGACAGATGACCATCCAGCCTCTGTTTAAAAGCTTCCAAAGAAGGAATGCTTGCCTTTTTTGTGTGTGAACCGCCCTGAGTCCCTTCGGGGAGACTAGAAATAAAGTTATTATTATTATTATTATTATTATTATTATTATTATTATTATTATTGACACAATAATAAAGTTATTATTATTATTATTATAGAAATAAAGTTATTATTATTATTATTATTATTATTGACACAAAAGCACAGGATGTCTCAGCAAACGAGATCTATATGCTGGATTTCGTATCACAAAATCAATTATTATTATTATTATTATTATCATCATCATTATCTAAAAATCCATTAGACAGAGTGTGAGGTCTGTAGATTAGCTTTTATGTTTGTTTTTTAGTCTTATTTTAGTATATACTAGCCATCCCCTGCCACGCGTTGCTGTGTCCCAGTCTGGTGATCTGAATAATAAAGTAATGAGAAAGTGTTGGTTTCTAATATATGCAATTTCTTTATGCTTGTGGGAAAAAGCACTTCTTGCTGTTTCTTTGTCAATGTTGATGTGGAGATTGTCTGGTTTGCCCACTCTGGAATATGCAACATATCATAGTCCTTCTTTAGGGGTCCCTTTCAAATTTATGATATATATCTCCGTGTGCGTGAATCATATCTATCTATCTATATCTATGGCTGGATGGCTCTTTGTCAGGAGGGCTTTGATTAGATTTTCTTGCCCTGGTGAAGGGAGTTGGAATGGATGGCCTTAAGTATTTTCTGTTGCTCATGGGGGTTCTGTATGGGAAGTTTGCCCCAATTCTGTCATTGGTGGGTTCAGAATGCCCTTTGATTATAGGTGAACTATAAATCCCAGTAACTACAACTCCCAAATGTCAGCGTCTATTTCCCCCAAACTCCATCTGAGTTCACACTTATTTATTTATTTATTTGCTTTATTTCTATACCGCATTTTTCAGCCTGATAAGGCGACTCAATGCACTTGAGCATATGGAGTATTCGTACCAAGTTTGGTCCAGCTCCATCATTCTTTGAGTCCACAGTGGTCTCTGGATGTAGGTGAACTACAACTCCCAAACTCAAGGTCAATGCCCACCAAACCCTTCTAGTGTTTTCTGTTGGTCAGGGGAGTCCTGTCTGCCACGTTTGGTTCAATTCCATCATTGTGGAGTTCAGAATGCTCTTTGATTGTAGGTGAACTATAAATCCCAGCAACTACATTACATTTTTATTTATATAGATGTTTTGTGTGCATGTCTGTGTATTCGTTCTATTTTCTTTGTTTATATGTTCTTTGCATTGTCATTTATAGTCGATTTTTTTTGTACTGTAGTAGTATCGGTTAGAAGAGATCAGAAGGTTGTAAAAATATGTAATTGATCATTTGTGTTCCCATTTCTTTCAAGAAAAAATTGTATGAATTTTAAACCCGCCAAATTCTGCAATGCAAGCCCATTGTGGTGCTACCTTTCTGTAGTGCTGGGATTTCATGCTTCTGCAAGGCAAGAAGCCATTCTGACGGTAGCAATGCTGCTGGGAGGGTCTCTGCTGGGAGGGTCTCTACTGTTAAGACAGGCTTTTCTTTCCTGAGGAAATGGGTTAAATGAACCAAACAGCTATTGGGTAGCAGGAGAAGGGCAGGGAGAGACTGGCAAAGAATCTCTCAACAGCACCATCATCGTATCAACGTTAACACTTCTCAGTATCGCACAGCAGGCAGCATGGCATACTAAGCCACCATGCTCATTTGAGTTACTGTCAAATGCAACCACAATAAGACACAGCAACATACAAGGAAGATATTTTATCTATGTGGGGAAAAGGGGGTGATTCTCCTCTGATCATTACTATATGACATGCCTTTTAACTTTTATGCATATACATTTATAGGTAAAAAAATTAGACACACTACTTCTGAAAATGAGATCAATCACAAAGCTTGTCTTGCTTCAGAAGACACACCTATGCAAATACTTGCTCACACCTGCAAGGAATCTATTCACACCTTCCTGAAAGAAATCGAACAATTCAAGAAGGACGTGGACAAGCTAGAACGTGTCCCGAGAAGGACGACCAAAGTGATCAAAGGTTTGCAAACTAAGCCGTATGAGAAGCGGCAGAGACAGCTGGAGATGTTTAGTTTGGAGAAAAGAAGGCTGAGAGAAGGAGACCCAGGTTACATGTTGAAATATTGGAAAAGAAGTCACATTGAGGAGAAAGGGGGAAGCTTGTTTTCTGCTGCTTCTGAGACTGCGACACAACAGAGCAATGGATTCAAATTGCAGGACAAGAGATTGCACCTAAACATTAGAAAGAACTTCATTACAATAAGAGAGGACAGTGAGTTGAATCTGAAATATGCTGCTCCCTGGAAGTCCATCTTTGGAGGGTTTTAAACAGTTTAGATGGCCATCTGTCAAGTGTGCTTTGATTGTGCTCATCCTGCCAGGCAGAWTGGGGTTGGGGCCCCTACCAACTCTAAAATTCTAATAATGTTAAGTCATCTGGTGTACTATTMATTTATCATGTCATCAGCAACCATACCATTGTATTACAGTTCTAACAGAACAAAACAAACAAACAGATAAAAAACACAAAATTTGCAAACTTGGTAGTTGATTAAATGTCCTTTGACCAGMATCTGGCCACTTGGAGCGCCTCTGGTGTTGCCGCAAAAAGGTCCTCCATTGTGCATGTGGCTGGGCTCAGGTTGCATTGCAGCAGGTGGTCAGTGGTTTGCTCTTCTCCACACTCGTGTACTGAGATTACAGTACAAAAGGTGCACAGTGCAATAGGTGTGTCTGAATATATACATTCTTAAACAGTGGGTATGACAGCATAGACCTTGACCTAGAAGACAAAAGATTCCTCCTAATCAGCAGGAAGAATTCGGTGACAGAAAAGGCTATTCAACTGTGGAACTGACTGCTTTGCTGAATGGTGCACTTTCCCTCTTTGGAGGCCTTTAAACAAAGGTATGGTAGGCATCTTCAGACGGTGCTTTAGATGTGGATTCCTGTATGGCAGGGAGCTGAACTAAATGGATTTCGGGATTTTCCCCACAATTCATATAATTTTTATTTATTATTGCTAGAATCATAGAATCACACAGTTGGAGAAGACCACATGGGCCATCTCGTCCAACCCCCTACCATGCAGGAAAAGCACAATTGAAGAACTGCTGACAGATGGCCATCCAGACTCTGTTTATTATTTCCTATCTATCCTGCCTTTCCCATCATATAAGGCAGGGGTCCTCAAACTAAGGCCCGCGGGCCGAATACGGCCCTCCAAGGTCATTTACCCAGCCCTCGCTCAGGGTCAACCTAAGTCTGAAATGACTTGAAAGCAAACAACAACAAAAACAACAATCCTATCTCATCAGCTAAAAACAGACCCACACTTCTCATTGAAATACTAATAAGTTTATATTTGTTAAAATTGTACTTCATTTTAATTATTGTACTGTTTTTAAGTGTTTTTTTGCACTACAAATAAGATATGTGCAGTGTGCATAAGAATTCATTCATGTTTTTTCAAATTATAATCTGGCCAACAGTTTGTGGGACTGTGACCTGGCCCTCTGTTTACAAATAAGGTCTCAAAGGAGCTAACAATAAAAACA